TTTCAAATGTCCCAAATGTTTTAAATATCCCAAATGTTTCAAATGTCCCAAATATTTCAAATGTCCCAAATGTTTTAAATATCCCAAATGTTTCAAATGTCCCAAATGTTTCAAATGTCCCAAATGTTTTAAATATCCCAAATGTTTCAAATGTCCCAAATGTTTTAAATATTCCAAATGTTTCAAATGTCCCGAATGTTTCAAATATTTCAAATGTTTCAAAGGTCCCAAATGTTTCAAATTTCCCAATCTTTTAAATGTTTGAAAAGTAAATGTGGATCACAGAGGTGCCTCTTACCATATATATATTATATATTTGATTGTGTCTGTTCTCGAGTGGTTGATTGTTTTTTGACTTTTTCGAGTTGTTGAAGTAATTTTGACTTCGTTTTGACGTGTTTTATGTCTGTTTCGATGTTTTTTTGTTTTACGATGTTGTTTTTTCGTGTTCTTTTTTGTTCGAGCTGCGGTCTATGTTTGACATGTTTTTTACTTTTTTATAGTTTTACTTTTTTATAGTTTTACTTTTTTTTTTTTTTTTCGATTTTTGTTGCTTTTCAATTTGGTGTTTTTGACTTCGACTGACTTTTCCATTTGCCTTTTTTTGAGGTGTTCGACTTTCTTAATCAAGGATTCTGGCCTTACCGTATGAAATATTGTTATAAGCATATGGACCGTGAATAATACCAAATGTTAAAAACTCAATAATAAATTGAACCCAAATACTGTTCTGTTTTTGCTTTACTTCAATTTTTTCTGAACCCTGATATTCAGCTGCTTCCGAACCTTGATTCTGGATGTTCAGCATTTTCAGCATATATTTTTATGTCTATTGTTTCTTATTTGGGCATTGCCGTTCGTAACCTGAAATCAAACGACAAAGACTACCCTGATGACGGACGAATGAAACAAAAAATGAAAGAAGTATGTCTCAAGCAGCCCAAGCCTTCAATTACTCCACATAATACTAAACAAGCCCTGGTTTGTTCTTTTGGTGGTTTCTTTTACTTTAATGCCCCTTTCTTTCTTTGCATTTGCCTTTCATGTACTTTTCTTGCCTTTTCGTTTAAACATTCCTTTCATTTCCTTTTCGTTCCTTTCATTGTCCTATTTCAACTTCAGATCAAGCTATTTCTGGATTCAACGGTATTGAGGGTCTGAACCTGAACCCGGGAGGGGGGTTATCACTTAGAGGTCGACAGCAGTCACTGCTCAGCCTGTTCCTTCTTCCATGGGGTCGAGCTGGAAGGTTTTCCTATTTAAATGCACACCCAAATGGATCACTCATGATTCAACCACTCATTTAGGAAAATCAGACCAAAAACAAACCAAACACCAAGGCACCGTGCGATGGTACCGGTCGCCTTGCAGCACAACGTCTCTGGCGTCGTCCTCGCGGCCGCCTTCTTCATCGGTCGAAACGCTCCAGCGCAGTGCCCAATAGGAGCCGAGGAAAGGAATCCAAGCCCACCAATGTCGACCGACCCCTTCCTCCGGTTTCGACACAGAGAAGACACAGAGACGGTCACCAAAAAAGGGACGGTGATTAAAAAGGGATGACATGATGACATCTTCTGAAACGTTGTTGGGTGGAGTGGAAAATGGTACACTTAGCAAATCATCCCTGGGGTTGCAAACACCTCCGCAGAAAGATGTTGGGGAACCGGGAACAATGCTAAAAAGGTTCATTCTAGCTACATTTGCGCCGGAAGCATTTTCGGAGAGCTCAATTGCTGAGCTGCCTTCAGGGATTGAATCGCTCTTGAAGCTAATATAGAGCAATAGCCTGAGAACCTCAAGACTGTTATCAGGCTTTAACTAGCATCCCATGCCGGTCCCTCCCAAGATGTTCAGAAAACACGGATCGCCCAAGATTCCCAAGGATCGCCCGTCACATAGCCACTGATGGCGCAAGGTGGAAACAAGCAAAGGGAGCATCGACTTGGCTTGATTCGAGCTGAACTGTAGCTCTCCTGCAGATTACCATGCGGATAACAAGATATGACACATGCAATTGAGGTGCCCCTGAAGTTAGACTAAGTTATAACATACCGTAACATAGCTTACACATGGTTTAACTTAGCTTACAACATAGTCTATATTGGATAACTTCGAAACAAGTTATATGTTAGTTGTAATTGGTTTAGTGTTTTTACAGAAGATCTAAGTAACTTATAAGTTGTAGGTGCCCAGAACTTATAAATAAGTTAGCGAAGTTAGCTTTTAAGTGTTCATTTTGCATGACAACTCGTAGGGAAGCTTAAGAAACTCATTTGGACACTTTTTTTTTGCTAGGAACCAAAATTGCAAAGGATATTTTGCTATAATGTGATCACTTGCGTAATCTTTCACGCGGCCGTTTTGTGAATGTTCAGTGGCGGTGGTCCGTCTTTTGTAGTGAGGGGCGGTGGTCTGCCTTGTGTGTTGAGCGGCGGTGGTCCGCCTGTTCTTCAGTTGTGTTTGTTTGAGCGTGATGCTCTTTGATGAAGAAGCCGTCCACCAATACCAAGAAGTGACCTAATATAATCTGACAGGCTGCAGCCAAGAGCTGATGGAAAACGACGCGCCCTGTCATTGGAATCTTTGAAGGTGTTCGAGGCGGTTGTCCGCCAGGTTGTCAACAAAAGGGTTCCTGTTTTTTTGAAAAAGAAGAGACACCCTTCCCGGAAGGACACGGTTGAGTTGCAGAGGTTTTGCAAAATCAGTCAGGGCGCGGTTGTCCGCCAGCTTGATCACAAACATTTGAATTAGGAGGCAGTTGTTTGCGGGACACATCATGAAAGTTTGAGACAGGATACAGATAGATCCAGATACATCGACATATAAATATTAATGCGCTTCCTCAAGTTAGTATAAGTGAAAACTGAAGAAGAAGGCACAACCGGATACATCCTTATACATTCCGTATACATCCCGTATACATATATGTGATGTATATGGAGTGTATCCGAATGTATCTGGATGTATACGGGTGTATCCGGATACATGCGTATACATTTATACACATGCGGATACATTCCGTATACATCATATACATGTATTCGAACTGTATACAAAATGTATACGGATGTATCCGTGGTTGTCCTTTGTTGATGATTGTTCTTCGTATATCCACAGCCATTGGGGTTGTAGCCTTGGAGGAACTGGATGAACAAAAAAGCAAAGTTCCTTTCACACGTGTTTTTGAACTCTCTGGCAGAAAAAGAGCTGAAGAAGTGCTGCCCTGTTTCACAATCAGTCAACCTTCTTAACACTATGTGGATGGTCGCATCGTCTTGTGCCTGGAGTGAAAAAGGGCAATCAAGAATGTTACTGGGAGGTTGGCGTGCAAAGTGAAACGCTGACAAACCTTGTAGCGGTTGTCCGCTGCAAGGTTCATTTTTGTTGGTTGAGTGCTGCTTTGCCAGGGCCTCACCTTGCAATAACATGTGTTTATTTGTGAGGCGGACCGCCCAGGCGGACCACCGCTGTAAACAACCGCCGAGACCAAAGCAAGCCGAACAACAAACGAAGAAAAGAGTAAGAAATACGCCCTAAAAAACACAGAAGTGGACCACCAAAGGCCAACTTGTTGGTACAGTGGCAAGAACATGTGTTTTGATATGCATTTTGCAAAAACATGAAAGTGCACATTGGTTTTTAGTTACAGAACTTATAACTTAGTTATAATGTAGATACAACTTATTTATCGGATGGTTGAATATCTTAGTTATATCTTCTTTATAACTTCTCCAACTTGACTAACATAGTTACAACAATCTTAACTTCAGGGGCACCTCATTCCCCCACAAACCAAAGGTCTGCCGATTTGTCCTGCAAATAGGCCTCTTCCCAGTCGACTTCAGGCTTTTCTTGTTGCCGATATCGTTGCCAAAGCCGCAACAAAGGCCAACAAGCGGCCACAAATGCAGGGGCAGCCACGAAAATGTTGGCAAAGAGAACGATGTTGTCGCCCTTGGTATGAGACAAAGTTCAATCAGATTTAAGCATGAATCATGAGACAAAAAGCAGCTTACTCATGCTGAATCATGAGACAAATAGCAGCTTAATCATGCAGAATCATGAATCATGAAGGTCGTTGACTAATTAAGCATGTTTGTACAATGATAATAGTCCCTATACGCATTGGGTATACGATGGTATATGAACCTCCAAAGTGCCGAAGAAACATGAAAGTGGAAACATCTTCCGAGTTGTCCTCCAGAAGTGGCTTATCTGGCGTCCAGAAATAGCAAAGTTCCGAGAAAACTGGTTAGGAGCCTTGTCGTGTCCCTACTATTCCTCAACAACCCAGATCTTTGAAGGTCTATCCAAAAATGTTCTTCCTGTAAAACCTCCCCACTCCCCAGTCGATCCAAAGCTACCTCCAGCTTGGACCAGGAGCTTGACGAGGCGGGACATGAACTTCTGAAGAAGGGCCGATACTGTTGACGAGTCGAAGCGACTACGACAAGTGAAAGACACTACGACAAGTGAGAAGCACCATCGTCATACCCAATGTAAGAACCATCGTAACCTGACCATCGGACTATCCACATGTCTTACCAACGTGGTAGGACCGCTGTGAACCGTCCGAACGGTCGATGCTTCCAAGTCTCAAGTTCCGCTTCCAGCCGGTTCAATCCAAACTCGCCCATCCAAATCAGGTTGCAAAGAGATGTACAATATCAAACCATATCTAAACTATAAATATCAAGTATTCCTATAAATTATAGATATATTAAGACAAACAAACAGAAACTTACTCTGGGTCCGTTGCCAACCGAACACATGAAGTCATGGGTAACACCACATTTATATGGATTAACCATGGATTTTCGCCATGTTTCTGGTCGATCCAAAATTCCTTGATGATTTGCAATTTCTCCCTGAGAAGCAGAAGCAAACGCTGCACCAGTGTGACGTCCTATCGTTCTCTCAGAAAAAACAACGGAGAAATGCACCATCTCAATCTCTCAAAGCTCCCGCCCAAGTCCACTCGGAAGCCAAAGTCCACTCCGCGGTGACCAAGGGGTGTGATTGTTGTCACTCCTTGAACAAACATGGGGTTTCGTGGAGTGAAAACCACCGGATTTGGATCTAGGACTGGTCATGAACATCGCGGAAAAAACACGGCCGCCGCTCCCAACGGACGGAGTGTCGAACAAATCGGAAGTGTCTTCTGTTCACGAGCTAAGAGGCACCTGGACCCTCCGACCCTCGGGGTGTCCTGGCTGGACTACCCCACACTACCTATACATCCAGACAGGGCACCCCGACAGGAGGGTCCTGGAATGTTTGCTCATTTGCGCCGTGGTTGACTCGTGGAGTTGAGCCCAACGTGACCAACGAAATCCCCCGACGGCGAACATCCGAGAACAGCCCCCAGTACAAGTCTGGGTGACACAAAGACTCTCCGGAACACACAAGATAGAAGTCCTCCAAAGGCTCATTGGACCCTCACAACTAGGGTAGTGGGTGATGATGGAGCCTGGTTGCAGGCCTTCCGTTGAAAACACATATATAGTGATGTTCTCGTTTACCGACTGCTACAGGTTATTAATAGGACACCCGCAAACTATCCCAGAAACACACCCACTACAAAGGAGTTTGGGCTCTGGAAGGATCTGTGAACTGTGAACAGTTTCCAGGCTTTACGCACAGGGTAAAAAGGGACACTGATCCAGGGATGCACATGATGAAAGACTCCTTGACCAAAAAAGCTGGATCGATGGAGAATGATCACTCTGAATCGGGCTGTTGCATGAAACACGGGTCTTTGATGAAACACTCCTTGACCCAGAATGGTGATCATTGATCGAATCCGTGTTCGCCCCTCCCAATTTGCACATCTCAACCTGCTGGTGAGCTGCAAAGGGCACCACAGTCGGGGACATGTAGCTCCAGTACCCCCAAACCAAAGCACTGAACGTCCCAAACTTCAATGAGCTGGGAGGTCAGACTTGCATGGTCTAATTATATCCATTTCCACTGCATGACACCTATACCGCCAGTGACCAGTTTTGTCATACACGTTTCCATTGTCCATCACCAAAATCATCCAAATTCTCACCCAAAGCTCCGACTGGATTGGCGCATGGTTCTTTTTGCGCACTGGATTTGGGCACCTCATATGCAAATTCACCCCCACTTCCCACTTCCGCTTGACCGCCCCACCAGTGACCCAAGTCGGCCCACGGAGGACGACGGTAACACCCTGCTAGATGGACCTGAAGAGGTCACCGAAGTCACTCTGCCTATAGAGATCCACTCAAAAGGACCTACCTCCTCCCCCAGATCAAGACACGAATTGGTGGAGGGTGCAACGAACTCATCTTGAACACGAACATGTGGGCCATTGGCCATGCTTGGCCCCCCCCTTTGCCCCCCCACACATACACACCTGGACCTGGTCGTGACTCGTCACCCGCGGACCGGCGCGGCGCCTGCACGCGGCGCATGAGATCCGCCAGGCTCCCGTCGGGCAGCCGTCGTGCGGTGCGGTCCTGGCGGTGTGGTGAGCGACGTGGGGAGCGAGAGTCGGTGCCAGGTACCCTTTGACCGTTCACTTGGTTGTAGACTTGGTCATTGGTGGTATCCCCTCTATTAATCCATCAACTATTATCAACTAAAAGGCCATCTGGAACGTGTTTGGGTGGAACATGAAGGAAGCCCAATGTGTGTGCGATTTGGCTGGGTATACCATGAATGACCGTGCTCATGGAGCTAAAACGATGAGCCCTGGAGCTGCGGAGAAAACGATGACAGTGCCTGGGTGTCAGGATGGAGTCAGGATGAAAGGATCCAAGGTTGAGGGACCCTGACTGCTTCGACTATCCCAGCTGGGCAGGTCTTATAGTCCCGGTCCCTGATTTTAACCTCTCTTGGATGGTGTGAATCGATGGATCTGAAAGTCGAATGGATGGAGATCGGTGCGGCAGGCCAGTGGATCTGTGGGTCATGGCACGCGGTTTTTACCGTCGGAGAAGACCCCGGGTCCCATGAGTCTCATTGTGACTGGTGGGGGGAGGTGCTGTGACGAAACCAGCCCATATGTGAAGGCCACTGTGATAGAGAGGTTGAGTCAGGTCGACCTGAACTGGGACCCTGGTCTATGGGATGGGATACAGGGCTCTTCAACCTCTGTGGACGCTCTAGATAGTGTGGTATATGTGTGCGAAGGCAGGTGTGATTTGTGTGAACTTCCATCGCATGTCTGACACTTCTGTGCACCTGGTATGTAGATGAGGAAGGTGATGAGCACCTGTGGTGAATCATTCTGAGAGATACCCATATGGAAAGCAAGTATTGATTTGGAACGACATCCGCACATAATTAATTAAATGGAAACAGCCAAATGGTCCTTGGTGCTTGAAAGGAATTCCACTTGGATACTCTGAAAGTCTCTACTGCATGTAAACGATATCAGTGACAGGTTACATCCGCTGGAAAGCCTCTAATCACTAACTCCTCACCAGATACCGCTCCCTGTATCTTACTTCCTTCCCCCTATAGGCCAAAAAAGCCGCCCCACCATGCTCTGCCCCAACAAAAACCGACCACTTGCGCTGGGTTTTTCCGCTTACCGCTCCCGCGGGGAGTACCGCCTTCGACGTTCCGTTGCGACATGCGTGCGCCGCTCCGTGCGCCGCTCCGGGCCTGCGAGAAGAGGGGCACCACCGAGGGGCCGGACATGGATCCGGAATAGCCACCAATCACGGGCACCTGCCGGACCGAAACTGCGGTGGACATGGTTCGTTTCCATTCTGTTCCTCCACGTCGAGCGGGAGAGTTCGGGTTGGGAAGTCTTTTCGGGGCGGGTGAGAAAGCGAAGCAATGTCTGATGAAGCAAATGGATGGGTGGAGTCATCAACCTTCATCAACTTAGTGAAGAATGAATACCCAGACCATCCATGGGAATGACATGGCATGACCTATTTACCAATCAGTTGGGGTGGTTGAAGAGGGGTCAATGTAGGCACATTATTCTAATATACATGGATGGTCTGGGATATAGAACGGCGCTCCGGACAATCTGGGTCGTGGATAACCCGCTAATCTGTCCTTGCATAGAGCTAAGGGCTTCTTGAAGTGACATGAACATTTGAAGCTCAGTGCAAGATCGAGTAATCAAAATTCGATCGGCACGATCAGCCAGGCTAGCGTATTGCACATGGAGGATGTGGATGGCCTGAATCCCTTAGAACAGAAGCCAGACGGATTTCTGCAAAAACTTCACGGCAAGCTCAACAACAGCCTGTAGGGATCCAGTCGTACCTTCTCAGTGAAGAAGGAGGCACTGAGACATGTAGGTGCCAAAACGTCAGGTCCAGGAGGGTCCAATCTGAGCGGTACGACTGGATCCCTGAGGAGGGACACGTCCAAAGCACACGGAGCACCGACCGCATCGACTCTCGGAGCGAGACAGGCGACTTGGATGTCGCACGCGCAATGAGCTCGGACAAAGGTCCTTCGGTGACTCTGATCTCAAACAGGACCGCCCTATCCCCACGTTCGTCCAGTCTGACCTATAGTCAAACCTGGTCTGACTGATCTCCATTCTTGTATGACCAAATCCAGTATTTCATGAGGTCATTGACTTGTAGGGTCCTGGACTCAGCGAGGTCGCGCCCCGCCCCCTACGCGCGACCGCGCGCTCCGGGTCCCCAAGTCCCACTTCGACAGTGACAGGTTGCGCTCCAGGTCTGATGCTGACTGCGGTTGTCCGTCCAGGACTGTTTGTTCAGATCCGTCGTTACGACGGAACCGTCTATAGGACTGCAACCGTGACGACCGGTGTGGTTGCGAAAAGCTGACCAGGCATCGAGGAATCGAGGAGTGACTGAAGCGATCTCAGTCTGGGTCACTTGGCGAACCACGGGGGAGACGGGGGACATGTTGGATTTCTTTTTTAAAGTGAACCTCGGACCGGCACGCGTTCGCCATGCAAAGCCACGCCTAACAAAAGGGAACATTATGGAAGAACAAGACCAACTGGGAACCCGAGTGTGCGTTTGTCTTGCTCTGCCCTTCATCAGGGTGCCATGAAAATGAATTGGTAAGTTGACACCAGGAAGAACCATCCAAAGGTGTGCTCTTGCGTGCCCGTTCGTGCTCTCATGTGCGCGCTCCAATGTTCTGCGGTTCCTGTTTGGGGTCTTTGCCCGGATTCATATGTATCATATTTTGATCCTTACTCGGACATGTCTTCTGTGTTGGGATGGCAATAGATCAAGGCAGGAAACTGGTCATTGTTCATGCACCAACACATGTCTCCTTCTTACAAAGAAGTCAAACAAAAGCATAAAAAAAGGCCCCCAAACAGGCTCTTCTTACCAAAAAAAGCACCAAAACAGGTTCTTCTGTCTTTTTAGTTCCTTTTCCAGGCCGGGATGTCCAAGTGCCCCCGCCTGGATGTCCTCAATGGGCACCTTGCTCGCCTGTACCGGAGGGTGGTGCACCAGACACGACACATGGGTTTGCCATATGACTTACCGATCAGTTGAGGCGGTTGAATTTCGGGGTGAATGGGGTGCCAGAGTCTGCCAGAGGACTGCCAGTCTTCAAGGGTGGTCGTGTCTGGGATTGGTTGACCTTGGTTGACCATATGAAACGATTTGACTGCCAAACATGGTCAAAGCTACCAGGGTGATAGGGAGAGTATCCTCGCAAACCACGCACGCAAACATGACGAGAAACCTATACACATCCCTTCGCATTGAACCCGGGCTTGTGAAGGTAGGTCATGTGTGTAGCAAAAAGAGATGTGAAAAGCCTAAGGAACAACATCGATAGATCGAAAAAACAGAGCATGATGCATGAACAGCAAGGAACAGTTCTCAGATCGATCGACATGACAGGTCGACATGACATAGGCTTCGCAGCACGGCTGACTGCAGCACGATGCAAGCGGAGCTACGTGTCTGACCCGTCGAACTTGTTTGCGAACTGACCGGTCGATCATCGTATAGGTCCAAACAGGTCCTTTGGGCCCCTGTGAGATAGCAATCCTATGATAGGTTCAATTGCTCGGTTTTCCTATGATAAGTCTTATGCTGAGGCATAAAATTGTTTGCCTTTGGATAAGTCGGGCAGCAATGTTTGTTTATGAAAACACATGTTGAGATACGTGACCACTGTTTTGCATGTGACCACTTATTTACAATGTGTATGCAAGGTCAGTGCTCTTTTGGAAAGACATTGGGCTTTGGGGTTTTTTGGGGCGTGATCCAAAACGAAGGAGAACGCCGCCTCGGCTCCTCCACTAGCGTGCCATGGAACCGTGGTTGCCTAAGACTTCGAGAGGTAGACCCCTCCTCTCATCCCATGCAGTGCACCTCGTGAACGAACTTGTTGGCCCGGATGGTGTCGAGGCTCGTGATGCCGAGGATCTTCCGCGGATCGTAGCCGGCCTTCTCGTAGAGCCTCATCCAACCGTCCAACCCGGCCAAAAGGCGGTTGGATATCGATGCTTCCAAGAGCCTTCCCTATATACATCCACATACCGAATCTGAGGTACGGTGAGGAAGGAGATTCTTTATGTATAGGCACCAGGAGGGTCCAATGACCTTCGAAGGTGGCAGTGGATCCATAGGGATTGAAAAGAAAGAGAACAACATAGAACAACCTGGTTTTCTCGTGCTTCCAGCCCTTAGTCAAACACTGGTGCTTCGGGATTTCCAGCTCCTTGGGGGAGGCCAGAAACGATCTACCTCCGCCTTTTGGGGACCCAAAAGGGTCGACCCAGATGTCCCCAGGCCGAAGGGGGCAGGTTGAGGAGTCCATGTAGGCATGGATCGACGGCCGGCTGCTCCACCGTGGATTCCAAGTCCAGGTGGTTCTTCCGTGGGTGAAGTTTGGCTTCGAAGCTCCATGGGATGAGTCTTTGAAGGTCTCACGAGAGGCGTTTTTTTCCCGTCGTTCGAGGCCGTTCGTAAGCTTTGAGAATTGGTGGTTTGTAGTCGTCTAGACTACCCGAGTCCATCCAAAAATGAAAAAACTTAGAAGAACAGCGATCCAGCAATGAATCGACGCAGCTAGCAGCTCGGAGTGCTTTCGTTCGAACGTGCACGCCTTTCCGCCTGCTAAAGCCTTTACCGTCTTCACGCCTTTCCGGCAAATCACCCAGTGGTGGTTTCAACCACTGGAATGCGGTGTTTTCAATGGGTTAGTTGCGAGAGAAAGCGGGAGAAACACACATGAATTTTATGACTATAAACTATAAACTTAAGGATGGATCCACGGGTTGATTTAGCAGTCAACATGGGTTTTGCAGATCAACGGGATCAACGTTTAACACTTCACTGTGGTTTGGAACAGTCCTGGTTTGACGACAGTCACTGTTCATGAAAGCTTTGTGACTCGAACACATCTCCCCGTACCTCAGAGGGTGGGCAGTGGATCCCTAATACCCTACCAAGTCAATGACCTCATGAAATACTGAACTTCCACATACAAGAACATCGGACTGCCGTGGTTTGGAGGTCAGTCAGGCCAGGTTTGACTATAGGTCAGACTGGATGAACGTAGGGATATCCAAACGCTCCATGGGGACTGCCATCGGACTGCCGAGAAACGGCGCCGGGTGGTGAGGTGGTTTGGGGGGTCTGTCTGGGGCGGCAGTCCCAAAACAGGTCGTGTCGATACGGTCGACGTCCGGTTCCTTCCGCGTCCCGCCTGGCCATGGCCGGCACCACCGAGTTTAACCTCACCATCGCGCAGGCGCGATGGACAGGTCGTAGGTCGTGTGTTCCAGTCCCATCCCACCGGGATGTTCAAACGAGCTGGGTGGGGTCAAGTGAAGATTTCTGGGGGAAATCTTCAGATTGGCCAAGTTTCTGTGAGTCACAGCCAAATAGCCCAAATAGCCCGGGTGTCCTCCCTATTTGCCAAGTAGATGAGCCTTAGTGATCTCTGTTCTTCCCACGGTTGTTGCTATGTCTTCGTCTTGTGGTGCTTTCCCTTTCCAGTCCCTTCCAAGGTCTACACATCGCTTCAAAAAGCCTTCTTGACAAACCCCGATCGAGGCCAAGCAAAACATCACTCCAGTACCTCTTAGACAAAACAAAAGCATACTCACATGCAACACTCGCAACACATGCTTTATATGCAAAACATCTTGGCGGCCAACTTGTTGATTGACTGTATAGCCTGTAAGTATAGCAGATTAGGCTATTGACTTCAGCGACTTTGGGACGAAAACACTCCATCAAACCACTGCACTGCGCCGTCCAGTGGCGGGTTGACGATCAAGCCAACGATGGCGTCGGGGCAATGGGCGCCGCACGCCTCACGTTGACAGGTGCGACTCCAATCAGCAAAGCCAGACGCGACCCAGACCCGACCCATTCGGCCGGGGTTGGCCCCGAATCCTCCGCAAGAGTCTAGGGTTTTTCACCAATCCCTATTCCAGGCGCTCCATGTATATTAACCTACATTGGGGTGGTTGAAGAGGGGTCAATGTGGGGCATATATTCCAGTCCCATGGAGTGGCTGGGATAGATGGAGTGTCAGGGAGTTGTGCAAATTCAGTCCTCTTTGAGATGTTTGGATGGTCTTAAGTCCAGTACGTGATACAAAAGGAGCTCTATAACGTCGGAATGTTCCTGACACTTTTCAGCCTGTGTTGGTTTAGCACGCCCTCAGGCACTTCCGTGGTACAAAACACTGCACAATTGAACGATTTACCGTTTTGCTGGTGACCAAAGGCCGGCGCCTTTCCAACCAAACGTTGCGCGCAACTGGTTCTTTCGCCCAGTAGGGGTATGCTGCGCAATTTCATGCCCACTGAGCTAGCTGTTAAGGACATGAGCGAAAACGCAATGCGCAAACCGTAGCTGCTTCTTCACGTGCGATGCTGACATTGAAAAAACAAACTTTCCCATGCTCACAACCCAGATCCCCCACTTGCAAATGCTGGAAATGCTGTTTGTTGCGTGCGACATGTCAACAGTATCAGTTTACATGTAAAGCCCTCTCCCTGTGATTTGTGTGAAAACCAACGACATGTCTCTGTGTCCATAGACTACCTTTGGTTCTTGCAGCCCAAAGGGTTCACTCGGAGCACCTGAGAAAATGCAACAGTTTCATATACTGCATACTAGCAGCGTCCAATAGGTCACCATCCGCAACTTTTTGAGTCTGCAACAGCCACCGGAGGAGACCTGTTATGGAGGGTCCTCGTGCTTATAGTTACTATGGCTTCACAAAATGAAGTGGATTATCGACATTTAGCATGCGAACAGCTATTCCATCAAGTTAGGCTAAAGTGGGGATGGAACCGCATGAGGAAGGCCCAGAAAAGGCACACGTTCAGCTCCATGTTACATTGATGGTTTCTCCCAACAAACGCGATCAAAAACAGCACTGAGCCCATATTCCCCAACCACTCGATCTATGGAATACATTGGAATACTGGGAATACTAGCCTGAATTCCCTAGGGCTCCAACCACCTCCTGAGAAGATTGTTGGGGTGGGTGCCAGGAGGGTCTAAACACCTTCTGAGGATATGGTTGGAGCCCTAGGGATTGATCTCCAAAACGACCTAACGACCCCTGAGTGCATTCTGCACCTCCACGATGCTCTTCGCGATGTTGGCGTTGATTTTCAGCAATTCACTGTCCGTGCACGGCGCACGAACAGCGGGGCAGGAGGGTACAAGAAGGAACATCTCCTATCTACTTTTTGCCATATGATTCCCAAACAATGATTTATATTTATAATGTGCTTTACCAAACAACATCAAACAACCATTGTTCGACTCAGGGTTTTAGACTACAAAACAAGGTCAAACCTTTTAATGGTGGGAATGGGACAAACAGAAGTTCCCCTTGGCCCTAGCCGGTTGAATTGGACTTTCTGATGATGACTTCACACAACTTCAACATGGAATCCAAAAGAACATCCTACCAGTCAAGATCAATTCCGCTAAAAGAACAGCCGGCTAGAAGTTGAAGTGGATGACAAAGATACTCCCGGACAGGTACCAACCTTCATCTCCTTGCTGCTCTATAGCTCCCTGGTTGACTTCCCAAAATGAATCTTTCATACATCGTAGTGATGAGTGATTTCAAGGATTCAATGTTGATCACGTGTTCTCTGTTTCGACCCAAAACAGCCATTCAAAAGCTGAAGTTCTCGGATGCTTTCAACACCCATGGACCCCGCCGCGGGTCCTGCGATTCGCACCGCACCAAGCGCGCCTCTTGCTACGGCCCTTGCTGGGGACGCCCACCGGGACCAGCACAAGCGAGCAACCTACCCCCCCACAGTTGCGCATGTTCAACGCCAACCGCGCGAAGTGGGACGGTGGGACCTGTGCCCCAGGGGGACTTGGGATGGGAGCAAAAGGCTTAACTGTGGGAGCGGATGCTGAGAAAGCACCCCTCCAGAGATGAGAAAAGCAACCAGAAACACTTTTGTATTATGTAACCGCTTTTAACATCTTAAATGACTTGTAGGTACACTGAGTTGCTTGGCATTGGGCCAGCCGGCAAGGAGGAAATGGCTTGCTTTGTTGCAAGCTTGGCAAAGAAATGGGGGCTTTGACAGCAACACGCGTTCTGTGAATGGGAAGGAAGGAGGCCTTGTAAAGACTCGTGAAACTGATTCTGCACCAACCTCTGAAAAACTCATGTTTCCATCGGTAGCCAAACCAGAGCTGCTTGCACATGCCAGAACCCCATCTTCCAGAAAACCCGAGGACCATGCAGCCGGTGCTCTCCAAGCACTGAGGGAAAACGCTCCTGAGCATGGATGCAGCGATCTTTAAACCACATCAAGAGCCCGCGGAACAGTCAAAGCCAGCCATTTCAAGAGTTGAGTCTTGAAAGGGGACTACATGGGACGTTTATCACCGGAAAACACCTCAAACAAGACCGCGGTGCCAATGGTCTCTTCCTATCATCCGTGACAAACCCAGAGTCAACCGGCCTTTGAGGCATTCGCTCAAGTGGTCCAAGGGCTTCTGCGTTGTATCCAAAGAATATGCCTGATGGATCCAATGGATCAAATCTGGTAACAAAATGGATGGAAGAATGGAGGGAGGGAGGGATGGATGGAAGGCTTAATCCACTACACTTAGAGCAGTGGTGGTTGCCAACTGAGCAGCACTCACCCGCTGAGAAGGACACAAATCAAATATGCTGCGCGTACAACAAGACTAGGACGTGGTGGTGTTGGTATGCACAAGTGTATTTCAATATGGCCATATCTATACAAATATAGCTGTCATTTTGCGATGTACACTTGCGTGTGTAGCGATGAACCGGCCTTGCAACACAGAAGCATACCGGCACCAAGCCTTGGATAGACACCGAACAAATGAATAAACACATGTACAATCTGTAACAAACTACAACAAATATGCGTCGAAAGTGCATGGCATGCGCCATGCAAGGTTACAGACAAACCACGATTTGCAAGTCTTTTCTTGTCCAGTCTGTGAGGGGATATAACTCATCCCCTGTTCAGCTATATGTATATATATATATTATATATACATCTCTGAATTTCACGCAGACAGTTGCAGTCGAAACATGTCTCCGACAATCCTCCAAGTTGGAGGCAACAAACACAACACCGACACAAAAGGCATACATGCTAGAAATAGGCTTATATATCTGCTCACATCTAAATCCAACACTGAGACCTTCACACTACGTAGTTACAGTTCCTTTCACAAATTCAAGTCCCCTCCAAACAAATCCACACCACCTTCTAAGTTGAGTCACCTTCTTGCCTATTCACACCTTTCACCCTCCTTCATCATCCTGAATTGACCCGAACAACAGGCGCAGGTGGGTTGACCTAAACATCGCCACTGCACGGCGCCTTCACCTGGCAGGGCCTCTCGATGTGGCCCAAATCCGCGCCAATGCCTCGACACCCCCAGCGAGCCGGGAGGCGACGGAGTGGGGTGAAACCGAGGGATTCATTTGGAGGGGTTGGGGCTGGGTGATCGTGTTTGCGTATTTATTGCGGATGTCTCGGGGTCGTTTCTGTATGTGTTTTGAGCGGATGTGATGTTTACCCCTGAAGTGACACTTTTTGGAAGAACATGGCGGTGATTGTGATGTCAATTCCACTTATAGATGTTTTGTTGACAGGTGGGCGATGTGAATTGCCACGAACAAACAAAAACATGTTTATCTAGTTCGGTTTCTCACGGCAGCGGCAATGGCAGCAGTTGAGAGCAAAGCAATGGAAAATTCATCTGCCTGGGTTGCTTTTGACCTGCAGCTGACAACCCAATGTCCTTCAAGAGGACGGCTTGCTTTGTTCCTCACATCCTTTCCTTGACATGTCTCCCCACAAGAAATTCGACGGAACCTCCCAACAAGGAGACATCGACGGCTACGACTACTACTAACTAATTAATTAACCTATATATACCTTTAACATAGTAACTGAAACAAACATATTTGTATGCTTGCTTCCTTGATCGCTTGCTCGCTTCCTTGCTTCCTTCCTTCCTTCCTTGCTTGCTTGTCTGCCTGCCTACCTACTTTCTTCCTCGCTTACCTCCAAGTTTTCTTGCTTACTTGCGTACGTTCTTCACTCTACTACTAACTAGTAACAACCAACAACAACTACTACGACTACCGCTGATAATTGTGTTAAGAAGTTTTCTTGAACAATACCAAATCAAACAAGAAACATATTTAAATATAAAACTGATTCCCAAGACGCATCCAGCGCACTGTGTCAGAAACAAGAAAGGCTTTTTGAGAGTCGGCTTGTTGTGGATGGCATCAAATGTGAACCGCCATTGCCAACCCAGCAGGCATGAACTCAATCGTCGCCGCCCAAACAAATGGCAGCGTGCTGATAGCCGATGGTGATGAGGTAGTTGATTGCCATCCGTCGTGCGCAAATCTTCAGCCAACGCCCGGTAGAGCAGTGGAAACTGCTCGAGCTTTTGTTGCCACTGCCTTTGGGAAAATTGAAGCGCGAGGAGCAAAAACACCACAACCCATTTTACAAAACTTCACCAGCGCCAGCACTAAGTCTCATCGTGCCAGAGTGAGAGTGTGAGGGAGTGTGAGTGTGAGTGAGAGTGAGAGTGAGAGTGAGCGAGTGAGAGTGAGAGTGAGTACTACTTGCTACCTACCTACCTACCTACCTACTTACTACTTGCTACCTACCTACCTACCTACCTACCTACCTGCCTACTACTTACTACCTACCTTCTACCTATTACCTATTACATATTACCTATTACCTATTACATATTACCTATTACCTACTAGCTACTAGCTACTAGCTACTAGCTGCTGCTGCTGCTGCTCCTACTACTACTACTACTACTACTACTACTACTACTACTACTACTACTACTACTACTACTACTACTACTA